CAAAACTAAGTGCACAGGGGTTAATATCATATGATAGGTTATCTAACTTCAAAGTATGAACAAAATCGTTTTTTTGACTGTTGCCACCTTATGTCTGATTTTTACTGACAGCCGCTCTTAAATACACGCCGACGTCCAATTGAAAGTGGCGATTTTTTAATATTTTGATTGCAATCAAGAATTATATTTTAAGGTACGAATTTAATTTATAGAAAAGTAGAGGTACGAGACCAAATGAAGTACAATTTCCATGCCAAGGGATATTATTATAATTATCATTGCAATATAACGGGAATCTTTCAAAAGCTTTTAATTTAAGTGACGTGGGCTGAATATCATGGGAACTGAAATGAAGCGAGTGTGTTGTCTTAATTTGATTCRACTATAATTCGTTCTTGACGAACAGACAACTAGTAATAATATACTTATGTTTATAAGGTCAAGCTTTTCTGTCGGACTTAGTTATGACTTTTGCAGTGTCCATCTTTGCGGATGTTGCTATGCCAACGCACTTAATCGTGACATAAGACATATTCGAATCAGACCGCACCAACACTTTCGTATCCCCTAACTAGTAACTAGTTTCCGGTGGGGGAGGGGGTGGGGAAGAGAGAAGGTGTTTCCAATATCATTCCTTTTCACAGGCATGTCCCACTACAGTCAATTCAGTTGGGCCGGCGGATGACCCTTCTCTTCCCCACCCCCCACGGGATATTTGTATGCATGCTCGTCCTTAAACCGTGGGATTAGAACTGAACACAAACTTTAATATTTAAATTACGTTGCCAAAGTATTTTTAGAATTGGGCGACTGTTCCGGTTCGAATCCACTGGACTTGTCCTAATCAGGAATTCTTCCCGCATTCGATTCTTTTAGTTACATGTGTAGAAATAGAACCATCATCCGGTGGCAACGAAGTACCTTGCTTCATGCATAATCATAATTAGTTGGTGAAGAAGTGTGGTTCTTCAAACAAAAATTGGATGTGGATGGCGATCGTCCAAACAGAAAAAATGAACAAACAAGTAATCAAAATACTAAAAAAAAMCAGTATAACAGATTAACACAAACAACAGAATAAATAAACAAAACAAAATAAATGAAAAAGAAACCACAAAACACAACGAACAAACCAAGCCAGCAGCGCACCACACTACACCACACCACA